ATGAAATGAAATGGAATACCTCCATCCATCTTCTCTCTTCCTCATCAAGTCCTTGGCCTCCTCCGAAACGAGAGAACAAATCCCCGGGTAGTCGAATGCACATGAGTCAGCCTCAAACATAACTTCGGACGCTGTGAGCTGAAGGAGGTGGCAGTCCACTCTAGTACGTTCAGGAGCGTGGGAAACGGATGTACTATTCAGGCGGATGGATGCTCAGTGATTTTTAAGGGCAACTTGAATTGTTTTTAAACATTGGATGAATTCTAAAATGTCAGGATGCTTACACATGCCTGGAGCGGTCAATAGCTAGGTTGTTTTCATGTCATGTATTATCCTGTTACAGTACTTGGGGGCGGGAGCATGCTGGAGGTGAGTACTTTCCCCACCTCTGGGATGAAGAGGTGAAAGCTCTGTATGTTCCTCACTGGGGCCTGGGAAAAGGGAGAGGGGGGGGGGGAGTTTCTTTGTGCTGGAGGTGGAGCCATCAATAAAAACAAAAGAGAAAGAGGCTTTCAAGGCTCTGCCTGCCCAGATAGAGGCGGATATAGGAGTTGAGATGTTTCTCTTGAAGTCTCAGGAAAGGGGAGCTTAGCTCCGATGGAGTGCTCAGGACCGGCTTTCCTAAATCCTAGCTTGTTTACCTCAAAGAAATGGGAGAAAGTATGTTTCTTCATGTACTTTCAAAGGTCAGATCGAAAATGGTCCATCATCGTTTTAAATAATGGCAAAGCTTGTTATTTCTGGCACATTACAAGTATTGGCATTTTAAAATAAGATTCTTACATCATTTTCTAAGTGTATCCAAGGGAATCTAAATATCATAATACTTCTATTATCTATTTTAAAAATACATGAACAAGCTCTTCTTTAAAATAAATTTTACCTCATTCTTTTTTCCCTTTCCTTGCCCCTGGACATTTTAATATAAGACTTTAGGCTGGAAAGTTTTATTAATCAGCCTATCATTTTTCCCTACAAAAAAATGAAAAATCTTAACTCATTCTTATTTTATTATTGATACAATTTTGAATATCTAATTGCTTTAAATAACATAAAATATTACAAATTTTGATAAACTATTAACATTAAAGCACATATATTTTTAAAATCCTCACCAGAGGATATGCTTATTGACTTTTAGAGAGAGAGATAAAAAGAGAGTGTGTGTGTGTGAGAGAGAGAGAGAGAGAGAGAGAGAGAGAGAGAGAAAGAGAGTAACAGAGAAAAATCAGTGAGAAACATCAATAAGTTGCCTCCCAGATGCATCCATATTGGAGATTGAATCTACAACCTAGGTATCTACCCTGACCAGGACTTGAACCCGAAAACTATATGGCAGGATGCTCCCAACAACTGACCCCACCTCCCCGACTCCCTGACCAGGAAAAATCTATGCTGGAATGGGTTTAAGAGAGGATGGGAGAACCTCTCACTCAAAAGCCTCAAATATGCCATATGTAACCTCGTGTGTTGTTATGAGTTGATTATATGTGTATGTAGTCTTACTGTATTTGACATGTCTATAAACTTGATATAAATGTATCATATGGCATGTATTCTGCTGCTACAGACTGGGAGAAGTAGAGAAAGGGGGCAGTAGCTGACAGAAGAGAAGATTTAGTAAGATTGGAGAAATAACAGCTACTGTAAGCTTATGGGAGTGACCCCAGCAGAGAGGGGAACATTGATAACATGGAAGATAAGGTATAGTTGCCGGAGTAAAGTGATGATCTTGATTAGGCAAGGCAAGATTGGGATATATTGCCTTAGCCAAGGGACTGGCTTTAGTGAGAAGCTTGGAAAACTCACCGTGTATTGGAGGGAAAGGTGAAGAAGAGGTTCTAGATGCTGGTTTGTGACTAGGGTAGATGAGGTGGTGGGAAAACTCTGGAAGTTTTCATCTCATTGCTTCAATTTTCTCCATGAAATAGAAAGCAAGGCCATTAATTGAGAATGATGATTGAGAGGAAGAGGTGTAGATTAGAGTACAGAAAAGGTATGAAATCCAGAAGAATGGTGGAGGGGAGTTAGATTCATGGCTCTAAGGACCCACTTGAAGTTCCCACTGATGAACTGAAAGTAAAACTAGTCCGTGTGATTGTGTTTTTCTGTAGCCACATTCGGGTGCATGGGTGCTGGCATGGAGGAGGTGGAGAGCTGGCCTGAATTCAGGACTGTGGTTTTAAAAGCCCAGCAAGCAGGACAAAGTGGGAGGCGAGTCTGGGGGTTGAAAGTGTGTGCCCTGAAATTATGATAATAACTGGCTCTGATAAGAATGGGAGAAAGATATGTGGACTGAAGAATTGTTGGAGTTAGAGTGCTACAGGGAAATGAGGAACTCTGCAGTGGTGTTGGGAGTGTGATATGTTTGAAATTGTGAGTATGAAGAAATTGCAGAGCTTGATAAGGTTCCTGTGATTATGCCCATGGGAGCAGGTGGCTGAGTTAGAGTAGGACAAGATTCTTGGAGGAGAAGGCAAGGAACTGAGAGCCGGGATAATGAGAAAAACCATCTTAGTACATATTCTAACCACCTAGGATTAAGACAGAAGAGGCATTGGAGTGACTGACAGGAGCACATGGTGAAAAAATGAAGGGGCATGAGAATAAGATGAGGAGTACTGGGTAACATGATTTAAAGCTGTAGGTTAATAGAGAGGAGAGAGGGGATGGTCTGGAAGCATTGTCAGGATACCTACCTCACCTCCAGGCGCAGGCTCAGGGGCTTATGGTTGAAAATACAGTTGCTACTACTTGAGAGGGAGAAGGGGAAGCAGTGTCCCAGAGGCAAGTCAGGTTTTCTTTAGCAAGAAGGTGAAAGGAACCTGAAGAGACATTCTGAGGTTGAGTTCATAGGGGTTGCCATTTGCATAAATAAAGAGGTGTGGTGGAGAGACTGGAAGGTGGCCCCTGTGATCCTTACCTCCTGGTGTTCATGCCTTTGTGTAGTTTTCCTTGAGTGGGGATGGGACTTGGGATTTGCTTCTGGCCAATCAAGTCATGGCAAAGATGTCAGGATATATGTGATTACGTGTATGTGATTATGTTACATCAGGTTGTAACCAATGTCCTACATCCAGACTGTCACCCTTGCCAGCTGCCATATTGTAAGCTTCCTATGGAGAGGTTCACATGGCCCAGAACTGGGGGAGCCAGCAGCCGCTGGAGACGAAGGCCCTCGGTCCTGCGGCCTGCAGGGAACTGAATGCCGCCAACAGCCTGGTGAACTTAGAAGCGGATCCTTTCCCAGGAGATCATACGCTGTGATCTTACAGAGGAAAGCCATGTGTGGACTCCGGAACCACAGAAACTGTGAGCCAAAACATTGGTGTGTTTAAGCTGCTTTGCTATATCCAGCAAGGTTAACTAACACAACAAGGTTAACTAGTACAGATGGGAATGGAAGTTTAGTTATAGCAATACTATTACATTATTTTAACCCCAACTGAGGTGTATTGTCTAAGAATCCCGTGTTGATCTATTATTAATTATGTTGATAACAAAGAAGTGAGACTTAAAAAGAGAATTTATGACCCTTTTATTCGGGTAGCTTCCTGCCTCAGCACAGACACCAACTCCTGAACTGTCCCTTTGGATTGCCCTGGGGGTCAATGCACTTTCGTAATGGGTGAGGCTTTTGACTTCTTAGGTGGGAGAAAGACAGTTTTAAAAAGGGCTGCTGTCTTCAGGTGCTTTCTGAAGCTGAGAAATTTCAGAAAATAGTACAGATTGCAGAGGAAGATCTGGACATGAATTCCCTTAAAACTAGTCTTGGAAAGTCTTCACAGACCCAGGGGTAAGGGAACACCAACAAAGAGGACAGTTTTAGAGGCTTTCTGGTAAGAGAGGGCGGAGATCAGGCTATGATGGAGAACAGCATGGAGCTAAGGGGTGGGCACTGTGTGAAAGGCAGGAGGGGAATAGAGTTTCAGGGCCATGTAAGTTAATAGATGACTTTATTTTTCAGCAATGGATGCTTCCACTTTTTCCAATTACAAGTATTGGATTCTGTAAGAACATAAGTTAAAACTATTTGGTGAGGGATATAAATCTTACACATGGAAACTAGAAAAGAAAATTCAATCTTTGGCCCTCTGATATTAAAATTTATATGAACACATGAAGCTTGAAACTTAAAAAAAATAATCTAACTAGAAAATTAGACAGTTAAGTGTTCATGGATATGTCTATATCCTTTATATAGCACTATATAATTAAGATTTCAACTACTTTTGAGTCTGCAAGTCAGATCCTGTCAGGTAACCTGCCATGTATGATCCAATCCTTATAAAATTTTAAAGATTTAATAAATTTAATCTTCCAAATGTTCTCAGAAGGAATTCTTAGAAGCACCCTTCAGTAATAAAACACAGTGGATAATTCATTTATCCAAAATGAACTAGCTGTCTGTGCATACTGTGAGGGTAGCAATGAAAGACCAAGATCTTCTGTAAAAATGGTACCCTCAATGCATAAGCATTCTCTCTTCACAGGAAGAGTGGGAGTAACAAAGGAAATGGAGTCATCTTTCATTATTTTCATCAACTGTTGGCATTTTCATAGTATTTTATTTATTTATTTTGTGCTGGGCTCTTTTTTATTTTTTTAATTAAATCTTTATTGCTAAAAATATTACATATGTCCCCCTCCCTCCTCATTAGCTCTTTCTAACCCCCTCTCCTCTCAGGCCCTCACCACCCTATTGTCTGTGTCCATGGATTATTCATATAAGTTCTTTGGTTGATTTAATGCTTGGTTTCAGTTCTACAACAGCAATATCAATATTTATTTATTGAAATATGTTTTTATTTTAGAGATAGGGGAAGAGAGGAGAGAAACATCAATGAGGGAGGAACATTCATTGGGGATTACCCCGGCAACTGGGGCATGTGCCCTGATTAGGATTCAAACTGGCGACCTCTTGGTGCATGGTCCCCGTACTCAACCAAGTGAGCCACACCGGCTGGGCCATACCAATATTTATCTTTAAGTAGAGGGCATTAACAGCTTCCAACACGATCTCTAGGAATAATTCGCAGTTCTGCACCGTGCTTTAGGAAAACATTTCCCGCAGTCTGTGCAGGATTTATTCCTATCCCATCATTGGTAATAATGGCACTTGTGGCTGCAGGAACTTTAAACTCTTCTGCTGCAAACTTTAAGACTGCCGTGAACGGTGTGCTTTCAGGAACACTGAGTACTTTGTACGGCAGCCGCGGATCGGACGTCAGGGTGATCTTAAAGGAAACCTTGGACATGGTGGAGCCGGCCTGGGCGGAGACACCGAAGCCCGGAGCCCGAAGCAGTCCCACTTCCGGCGAGGTAAGGCTTCCTGCACACTCAGCAACAGATGGCTTTAGAGCTTTCTAACTGGTCTCGGTGGAACTCCCAACAGAAGTTATTTCCTGGTGGGTGAAAAAAAAAATTTACATTTTCTGAAACTTTGTAAATGTAAAAGAAATGCGCGCTTCTTGTAAACAATTTCAAATAAAACAAGTATGAAGTCAAACAAGCAGAGTGCAGGCCTGCCCCTACCCCACGGCCGCCTCTATAACGGGTGTCGTAGGTCCTCTAAGGTTCCTTCCAGCTCTGCCGTTCAGCCTCAATCCCTCCCAACAAGGACCACGAACTTTTAGAAACCCGGCCAGCTCTCAGGGGAGCGATTTCTGGACCATCGTGTGCGTTTCTTTCGCCCAGTGTATGGCATGCGGCCCCATATGGGAGCGTCCCGCGACAGCTAGCGCCTCTGAATCTAGTGATCCAGGGCCAGGGGGGTGGAGGGGGTAGGGGGTGGAGGGGTGGAAGGTGCCGTCCTTATCGATCGGCTTCTTCCCAAAGCAAACTGCTAGCAGCTGAAGTTTAATTTTTGTGCCCCCGGAGGTCCCTCCAGAGAAGGCCCGACTGGTCGCTATTTATGAACACTCACTGGACGCCTCTATACGCCGAACTTTCCCGTGCTTCCCGGGTACCTTTTTGCGAAGAGATGCCAGTTTCTCTCGCGATCATTCCCTCCTCCACGCAGCCTTTCTCGCCCACCGCACGCGGAGCGGCAGCGCCTGCCTGCAGGGCCGGGTCCGAGGCCGCCACTCGGTCCTCCGCGGGCGCCTGCGCAGAGCGACCTCCCGTCACTGCGGGCGGGAGGCGGGGGCCGCCGGGAGAAAGGAAAGCTGCGGGGGAGGGCCAAACCCTGAAACTACCCGGATGTGGTCTCCGCGCGCGCATGCTCAGTGTCCTCCGACAAGTTGGCAGCGGCACCTCGGCCCTGGTCGTCGTCGCCGCTGCGGTAACGGAGCGGCTCGGGTGGCGGAGCCCGCGCTCGCGCCCTCCCGCTCTGGTGCGGAGGCCCTTCCCGCCCTGGCCTCGGCTCCGCGGCCGCTCAGGGGACCGGAGCGGGTGAGGGGAGCCGGGCGCCCCCGCGAGAGAGGCCCCCGCGGCGGGGCGGCCCGGGAGCTCGAGGCGGCCCGGCTCGCGCGGGCAGCGGCGCGGCGCCGAGGAGGGGCGGCCTGGCCCGGACGCCTCGGGGCGGGGGCCGAGGAGGGCTCCGGGCCGCCGGGGGGAGCGACGGGCCCGGCGCCCTCGCGGACTAGCCCCGGCGGGAGAGCCGACCGCCCTCGCCATCGCCGGAGTCCAGGTAACGCGCCATGTCCCCTCCCCTCTTTCCCCCGGCCCAGCCCGCGCACCCCTCCCGCGGCCTCCCCGCCCGGGGCGGGCTCCCGGCGGCGGCGGCGGCGGCGGGGAGCGCGCGGGAGGCGGAGGTCCGCGCGGGGAGCGAGCGCGGGCTCTGGGCCGGCCGGGCCAGGGGCCCTTCGGCGGGGCGGGCCGGCCGGGCCGCGGGGCCTCGCGTCCCTCGGGCCCGGCGTGAGTCCTCCGGTCCCCGGCTCCCCTCGCAGTCGGGCGCAGAACCGAGTTAAACTCCGGGACGGAGTCCCGGCCGCGGCCGCTCCTCTTTGTTGTGTCGCGGAGTTTCCCTGCCCGCCCGGGCCGAGCGCGTCGGGGCGGCCGGAGTGCGGTCAGTGTTGCCTTCGCTGTCTACATGCAAGTTAGACGTGGTCCGTCTTCATTTCTTTTCTCAAGCAGTTTGTTTCCTCTTTGTCCCTTCGTTTCTCCTCCTGGTTGTGCCATTCTAGCTTGTGGCTCCTGGCTCTGATTTATTTACTTTTTTAGTGTTGTGGGTGATGGCTTGCAGGAAACGATCTTAGCACCTCACCCAACCACTCCCACTCCCGCCCAGCCCCTAATTAAGGGGAAAGAAAAAGAAAGAGAGAAGAAAGAAAGAAAGAAAGAAAGAAAGAAAGGAAGGACATCGTTTACCCTGTTGCTAGGGCTACACGTACTGGGTGTGAAATTAGTGGAGGGTGGAGGTCAGTGGCTCCATCACTTACCCCAAACTTAGATTTTCAGAGAAATGGGCGTATTTCGTTAACTTGAAAGGTTTCTTGGCGCGTATGGAGAGGTTTTGAAAGGCCCTTCAAGATTGATGGCTGTTTTACCCCCCCCCCCCCCCAGCATCGTAGTGATTTTTAAAAGTGAATGTTTCTTATTCATTTTGAATTTAATTTCTTTTAAAGAATATATTTTTATTGATTCCAGAGAGGAAGGGAGAGGGAGAGAGAGATAGTAATGTCAATGATAAGAGAGAGTCATCATCCATCGGCTGCCTCTGCAGGACTTCCCCGGGGGACCGAGCCCACAGCCCAGGCATGGCCCTGGCCGGGAATCGAACTGTGTAACCTCCTGGTTCTAGGCTGCTGCTCAGCCTCTGAGCCGTGCTGGCCGGGCTGAATTTAGTTCCGAATGCCTAGTTTTTGCATTATACTTTAAGGTGAAACTGCCGGTTGTTTTAGGAGTAATAAGTATACGGGTAAGATATTGTGGAATCATTTACATTTGAATTGACTTTCTAAAGGTCTGTAATCTTGACTCATTTTTATTTAGCAATCTTTGACTTTTGACAGAATTAGCATCCTTTTAGTCTCCGTAACAGTTTGATTATTCGGGTACCTTAGTAAAAAATGCATACTTTCAAAAGTACGTATTTCCTTACAGTAATGTGATTTGGAACATTGTATTTGAATAATTTTTATTGTAGATTTTATAAATTGTCTTTGTCATGCTGAACCGAGTCTAAATATATTTCAGTTGTAAATAAAGCATATGAATTCTAGTGTGTAACTTTTCTGCTAAGGATTTAATTTTCCCTTTTGGAAAGCTAGTACATGATATTTCAAGTTCTAAATGATTGATATAATTAACATTTAGAAATATGATTCCTTATTAATGTTTCTTTGATAATGTCACGATTTTTGTGTGTGTTTTTTTTTAATTGGGTTTATTACAGAACAAATGTAATGTAGGCTGGACAAGCATTTACTAGCAAGATTTGGAATATCTTTAGGTCTAACAGTGGTGATGAGTTAAGTAGGTTTAAATTGTTGAAGTTAAAACTAAAAGCTTTCTAGACAAAATTGATATACCATTTTGTGAGTCTATTAATAGAAGTGGCATTTTCTTTGCTTTCCAGGTTTTTGGGAAAGGTTGCATCTTCTTTAATGTTTGAAGTGGGAGTGCCTAAGTAGAAACTTCCCTGTTCAGCCAAATGCCTTCATTTTAAATCTTGAGCTTAGGAAAAAATACTTTAAATCAGTTTCAGGTTTAATGAAAATTCTGCTGAGAAAGTCACTTTGAAATTTTTCAGAATAAGTTTTATATGGATCATTCCTCTGCTGCTTGAAGGAATTCTGCTTATACTGGGAAGCAGCAACTCTTTGCAAAAACCTATATTTCACTTTCTTAAACTACATTTTAGTTTAGTCATATCTCCATTTGTGTGTGAATTCTTTATTCTGCATTTCCTTTTAGATTCCATGCCCTCTTTCCCCCACCCCCCAATTAAAGAGCAAGTATAAAACTTAATTTATGCTGTGCAGTCACACTCCAGCTTTCCAGTTTGGAAGCTGTTTTTTTCTGAGTAAGCTGGTGTTATAGTAACATCATTAGACACTATGCTAATTGAGCTGTGAATTGCTGAGGCTTCTACTAGGGCAGTTAACCCTATAGAATCTGCTCTGTTCATTATATTTAAAATGTATATTTATTTAAATTTTTTATTTATTTCTTTTAGAGATAGACAGAGAAAGGGACAGGGAGGGAGCGAGAGTGATAGAAACATCAATGATGAGACTCATCATGGGCTGCCTCCTGCACACACCCCCTGCTTGGGATCCAGCTGGCAACCCCTGACATGAGCCCAGACCAGGAATCAAAAAGTGACCTCCTGGTTCATAGAGCGGTGCTCAACCATTGGGCCACACTGGCTGAACTTACGAAGTGATTTTAAAGTGAACGTTTTTTTTAAACATATTATATAGCCATTTCAGTGCTCATTGTACATGTTGGATTTTTTTTTCTTTTTTTTCTAGAAGATTGTGTAGTTAGGCAGAGTTATGCTTTCTGGTTTTTTGTTTTGTTTTTTGTTTTTGCTTAAATGATGATTAATGGTGACTCAGATAATGGTTAATGATGTATAAAACTAATTAGTTTCAGTGATTTTATTATTTCCTACACTAAATGAAAGGAGCTAGGTTAGCATTCAATTTTGTTAAATTATTAAATTTGGGGCTTTTTGCTCAACAGTTGATAAAGATTCAATTGTTTTAAAAAGAAATTCAAACAGTTGAAAATTTTGTTTAGATATTCATTTGAGTGACTTTCAGTTTGATACTGTCTACATCATAATATGCCAAAACATATGCTTGATAATGGGTCAGCTTTAGAATTTTTGGATTTATTTCTTGTTCTAAAATGTATAATTTTGGTGATGAGAAATGTGGCAGAATTTCTGTTTCTCGGGAACAAGGTATTTTGGGTTTCACTTTGACACTATTACATAGTGTGATTGGCATCCAGGAAAATTTTAACCATGAGAGTGGATAAAAATGAGGGTAGTGCTTACTAGTAAAACTAGGATAATAAGAGATAAGTCTTTTTTAAAAAAAATGTTTTTATTGATTTTGAGAGAGGGATAGAAAGATTAAAGAGGAACATTATGGTCGGCTGCCTCTTGTTTGCTCCATACTAGGGATCCAAGCCCGCAACCTGGGCATGCTCCCTGACCCAGAATTGAACTGCTGACCTCTTGGTTCCTGGCTGGACGTTCAGCCGCTGAGCCACACTGGCGGGGCTACTTTAAGTCTTGATTATTTGCTACTGCAAATCACATCATAGATAAGATACAGTAGAAAGCTACCATAGGCTGATTGTAATGAGTATTTATTGCATCTTAATTTCAATTTTGGTGATAATTGTAAATGCCTTTAAACTCAAGAACTATACTTTATTGTTTATGTTTTAAATGAGAATTCTTTGCAGTCTGGAAAATTTATAACTTTAGGGCTCATCTTTTCTTTTCTTTTTTTTAAATCCTCACCAGAAGATATTTTTTTCCATTGATTTCTAGAGTTAGTGGAAGGGAGAAGGGGGCGGGAGGAGAGAAACATTGACATGAGAGAGACAAATCGATTGGTTGCCTCCCACACATGCTTCTACAGGGGCTGGGGACCCAGCAACTGAAAATTGAACCCGAGACCTTTCAGTCTGAGGGCCAGCATTCTAACCACTGGGCAAACTGGATGGGGATGGGGTTCATTTTTTTAATGTTTTTCTTCAGCTCCCAGTGTTTAGGACAGTGGTTCTCAATCTTAGCTGCTCTTTAAAATCCCTTTAAAAACCTTGATGGCTAGATCCCATCCCCAGAAATTGTGATTCAGTTGGCTTGGGTTGTAGCCAGGTGAGAGTTCTGAAGTGGTTGAGCTATTAGTGTTCTCTAACTTTTAAAACATTTTTGTTTATTGATTGCTTAGAGAGAGAGAGAGAGAGACAGACAGACAGACAGACAGCAGTTTGTTGTCCCTCTGATGCATTCATTGGTTGCTTCTTGTATATAACACCAACCAGAGATCAAACCCGAAACTTTGGCAGATGGGGGGTGACATTCTAAACAGCTGAGCTACCTGGCCAGGGTAGGATCCTTGATAGCTTCATTTTTTAAACTTTCACTTGTGTCAGCTTTACACTCTAATACATTGATATACATACGCATAATGTAATCATCTCACATTTAACTTAATGGGTCCCTTGAAGTTATTGCCTCATATATTTTGCTTCCAAGTGTGTCCCCTTCATCTCCTTCTCTCCCCTATTTTCTACTTTTCATTGTTCAATTCGTTTGACCTGTCTGGTAGCAAGTTTTAGGATGCTGCATTTCCCGCGATGAGAGGTTGGTATATCATCACTGTTCTAACTAGGAGGTTTATCTTTTAAAGCATTCTAAAATGCTTACCTGGCTCCTTTTTCAGACTGTTTAGCATTTAAGCTACCAAAGGAACTTGTTCTTTATATAGGGGTAATCTATTTGGAAACCATAAAATTTTCTAGACACCAAATAATAACTTGAATGGTTCCTGAGATGCATTTTGCATTGATTTAACTTTTGCTGTCAGGGTTTAACTTGAATACTGTGAGAAAGTTGCCCAACAAGCCCAACTAGTTGGTAGTTCTTCAGAGATCATTTGTGCAGGTAGCTTCAGTTCTCCATCTATATCACCTGAAGCACCTGTCTA